TACCCACTGGGTAATTTTGATTTCCAAACATAGGCTTGGAATATACGTTTTCTGTGAAAGAGATCTGCTGGAGAGTTTGCCTGCTATTCATATGCTGATATGTCCGCATACTATTTCGCTTGTTTTCTGTGTGCGTGGGATAGCCTGGGTTATGAGCCCGTCTAAATCGATCATCTGAGCGAGATTCCTTGTAGTGTGTCTCTAAGGCATTCCACACCTTAGCCTTAACATAACCTTGAGCTCTACTGTTCTGCTTGTGTACGATAGGTTTTCTGTGATATTTGGTTTCCAGTTTTGACGATGACTGCTCTTGCATATCAGGTGGGGAGATAGATTTGTCAAGGTCAACAGTTTTATCACTACTACATACAGAGTCACTAGTAGAACTAGTAGGTATCGGCAGAATGATTTGGGATGGGGTTGTTTGGGTATTCAAGGCATCCGAACAATCGGTAGCCGGAGAACATATGTTTTTTAGGTAGTGTAGGTTGTGAGCTTAAATAACTTTTGTAGGTTCGCTTTTGGTTAACAGTCTTTTCTGATACTATCTTAACGTTCCTTAGTTTAGTGGTGAGAATGATAGTGTCAGAAAAACTGATAAACCGGGTAGCCCTTTGTTGACCGTCAAAACAAAATAGAACTGTGCAGCAGTATTTCTGGTGTTTCTTCGAGAGCCTAAAGCAACTGCATGGAATATCTAACATATTAGCAGGGTTGAGAAGTACTTTCTTTACGGTATTTATAGGCATTTTATTTGGGACATTGTATACAATTGCCCCCTTGACCAGCTGCTCCGCGGTTTATGACTTCGGAAGAGATGTAATTGATTACATCCTCTACCTTTAGCACGGCATTAGGTTCGGTCTGGACTTTGCTACTAGTATCTGCGAGGGTTGTGATGAATTTGGTGGTCAGCAGCTTTAAAGGTGCAATGTCCTGCATATCTCTTACTATATCCGCTATGTTGACTGGAACTGAATCAATTAAGAGGATCTGAGGGCGGAGTCCGTTCACTTGCAGCTGCAGGTCTTGAATGGTTTCTTTAAGTTCGGAAACAGTTGATAGTTCCTTACTGAGAATTATCAATTCAGACTCAACCGTCCGTACAACACCTGGAAGACCTATTACAGCTTTCATCTGTGCACTAATGCTATATACGGTTGTTTTAAGACATAGATAGTCCTCAGTTGTTGGGCCAATCATCGGGCTGCTCGTCAAAACATTTGTCAGTTATAACATCGGTGTTGTGCCTAATTTCGCATCGATGTAATCCTTGTTAGGACTCACAGTTTCATTCGATAAAGAAAGCATGTTAACAGTAGTTTTTTTCACTACTGTAGATTTCGCTGAGGCTTTTACGAGCACGTTTATTCGAATTTCGACCCATAGTTTAACGGTACTTTTTTCCGTTGAGTTGAGGTCAGACAACTGTGATCAGTTAGATATAGTAAGCAGCACGGGGAAGTTTCCCGCCAGTGACCAATTACAAATGCCTGTACAACAGCTTGCTCAGGCCACAAGGAAGACTCAAAGGCACAGGGACGTCAGAATTCTGTGCTATGTGAACACTACTAGTGAACAAGAGTGTAAAACAACAACGAAAAACAACTTAGCAATAAACTGAGGATACCTGCAAGAGTAACATGGGTCATCCAAACAGAGGCATATAATATGGCCGTTTCCACGGTAGTTCATATAATAATCGAAGTAAAATCAGTCAGCGAAGAGCGCAAACCGTAGTTAAATCATATTTCTCCTCTCTTCGAGTTCATCATTACTTGCCTGTATAGGTTAGCCTCCTTCCCATCAACCCAAGTCATCTGAACAACGGAATACTACCGAACGGCCACTATGCCAATCCTCGTGGTAACCGAAGGAGAATCGCCCACAAAAAGCGAAAAACCGTGTGCGACCACAACTCTCTCTGCGAGTTTGTGGCCACTGGAATGCGTTGCCCGCCGAGATTGCTACTGCTCCGTCTGCTGACAGCTTCAAGAAGAAGTTGGAAAGTTAAGCAGCGACTCACGGTTTGCGCTCATCCAACTGGGATGTGGATTAGATTAACACGACCTATCAACTTGGCATGGCCAACCGTTACTGAACACCTCATAGAACCACTATCACTGAGAACCGGGCTCAACCCTATACCTTTCTATAGACGTCCGCTCTAGCAGCCGTCTTCTACTAAGAGAACTACTATATTTCCATTCGTTTTATGATGCTATTTAATCTTCTTCCTTCTGACTTTACGTTCTCAAACTCCAACAAAAGCTCTCCCTAAGACGTCTTCCCCACAAGCCTATTAGTGTTTATTCTTCCATGCAGTTTCCTTTTTCCCGATCCTATTCTTTTTCTTAATTCTTTTTTATATTTATTTTTCCATTTGTTTTTCTCTGCGCGTATTTTTCGTCTCCTTTTTGCAACCAGTCCGACCGATTTTCTGCTGGTACGGCACTTGAGGAACCCATCCCCACCACAGTCTCTGGGGGAAAAAATACAAAACAAACAACACTCCCTATAAATTTAACCAACACCCAACTAACCGTCGGTCTAACCGGAGCTACAGCAGCCGAGCGGGTAGGTCTACTGCATCGGAACCCACCAAAGCCTTGGAACCGTTCCGCAATACCTAGAAGCGAGCGCGGAGAAATCAATTAGCTTACACTAGCTCGTAAAAAGATACTGGATCTCCGGGCTTGTTATAGATTGTCTGGCTGGTTGTGTAAAATGAGTGTTTTAACACTTTCTGAGGGCATATTCTGCCTGTTTCTACAATCTGAAACGCCTTTTACCGTTTTATTGTGCTTTATACTGTCTATCCACGTGAAAAAACTGAATGCACTAGAAAAATTTTGTGTTTGGTTATGAAGAAGTATACCAATTAAAAGTATGGCCATCAAGTCTTAGAGTGAGGAAGAATTATGGCTGCATTTTCTACTTCAAGTCGGTTTGCGATTCGCAGTTAATCAAGTGTTGCGAAAGACAAAAGCCAATAGTCCATTTATGTGGCTGTAAATTCAGTGTCAAGTATCTATTTATGACGCTGCGCACTGCTTTAAGGTTAGATTCTTAATGCACTGCCGGTGAAAAGCTTTCAGAAGGACTTCATTGACAGATTGCTAGGCAGTATAAATGCCATTTGAACCAAATTATCGAAGCGCTACGGAAGGTTGAAGCAAAAGAAAGCTGAAGTCTATTACTTAGCGCGGTGTGAACAACGTCGCGATCTGTTCACCTGCAATCTAGATGCAATATTACTGTGTTTGTCACCGCAAAAAGCTCTCGACCATATCGTAACAGTGGACACAATTTGGTTAATCAAATCGATGCAAGACTTGCTACGTACAATGACCTAGCTATCTTCTCAACTAGGGAATACTTCTTGCCGGTGATTTGTAGTCGGTTGAACCGCCCGAGTGCTATAGATTTTGGCTCTCTTCGGGAACCATTGACCAAGAAATATCTTTCTTGTTCCTTGCATACGCACTTGGAGTATTCGGTCAAAGTTTCTGATAAAATGAGAGAAACTGAATACCAAGTTCCTGTTGGTAAGCTGTCTACTTCACGCTTTATTCTCCTCTTCATTCACATTTGTATGTTAAATGATTTAACTATGATGGTACAAAAGCCAGATTGCAAGCCCTTAATCGTATAACGAGGTCTGCAGGGGGATGGAATCTAATTTGTGCAGCAACACCCCAGCCGTCAAAGACCCCCATAGCAGTCACACCAGGCACACCATATGTCAGAACCGGTAAACCCCTGTAGTCGGGGTGACAGTAGCACGCCTCAAGTCATACCGATGGTGAAATATAAGGCACGGGTGAAACGCGCTACGTTTGACATCACCTGACAGAAAGCGAACCACTCGGTCGGCAACGAAGAGCGAAATTCTGTCGACTGTGGTGTTTGCAAAGAATCAGTGTCAGAGGCTCAAAGAGCCTTTGCGCGCAACATCTGTTTTAGATGGGTGCATTGTAGCTGTGATAATGGTTTACACGGAGAGCACTACAGCTTTGTGAGGAAGTACTCATGTAAGTGGATGCGGTATATATGCCCAGAGTGACGGAAATCACCTGCAAACTGGAAAACCTGGTACAGTCAGCAATGTTACGTTGGATGCGATTCAGTATTGGATATTGAATTTCGGATCCGCTGACAGCCAGTAAAAAAGTGTGAAGAATTAGTCTGTGACATTTGGAGTCACTAATTTAATTCAGCTACTGATAAAGATGAAGGGACTAACTGGTATAGAATTAGTGGTATACTTCCCATTAAATTTAAATCAATTATCTTCACTTCTGTTACCATGTTTTTCCCAAATCTTTCTTTTACTCCTCAAGAATGACTAGCTCCCCTGGATGTTATCAGTTATCTTTTCACTTACCAATTCATTGCCAATATCAGTTTTATGATTTCCAATGTTTCTGACATCCCTTTCGTTACACATTCCCCTCTTTCGGGCTCTTTGATGCCGAACTCTTTTCAGTTTAGTTCTTAATATAGCTGATTTCTTAATTTAGACTCTTTTTTTCTGCTTCATCCTTTTACTTTCTTCTTCGGCTCTACGTGAATAATTCCTGATTGCCCTTACTCCTTTTTAGGCCTGTTGGAACGACTGACTAACAACACGATATTCGAAGTTCTTATATGCACTTACTGTCCCACGATGAAAAAAACAACCCCCTTCGGATTTGACCAACACAACCATCTTTGAACTTGCCAAGTCTGCAGCAGCCAAAAGGTAGCAGCTTCTACCCCGGAGTTCATCAAAGACTTGTAACCCAGAAGCTAACGAAGAGAATTCAGCTAAGTTATGCAGGCAAGTGGAACTTATACTACATCATGAAAGACTAAAAATGATGAACGTCATAAGGTGATGAGACATTAAGAATCAGTGGATTCAAGCACAAAAGATTTCAGTCTCGGGTAATTAGAAGTATCTGGGAGTTGAACCTCAAGTTTGTTATAACAATTAATTTAAGTTGTACTTATTTGTGTTTTTTTTCAAAATCAAGGACAAATTTAGAACATTGAGTTTGCGAATTTCTATGCATCACCACCAGGTTTATTAACTATTTGTTATGGGACTATTTTTGAAATTTGGAGAAATGAGTGGATACATTTTTACTGCAGTGGTGTTTTTGACAATACACACGAAGTTTTTGAATGCAGAAAAATTGGTTAATGGCACTTGCCCTTCTAGTCAAAGAACATTTTGCTACGATGGCATTATTGTCCCAATGTGGAGACCGTCAACTGGCATTACAGCTGGAGACAAAGCAGCCAGGGCGATTGTTTACTTCTCAGCACTGATGTATTTATTCTTAGGTGTTTCGATAATTGCTGACCGTTTCATGGCCGCTATTGAAGTGATCACATCTCAGGAAAAAGAAGTTACTGTCCGAAAAAAAAATGGAGAAACACAAACGATATCCGTTCGTATTTGGAACGAAACAGTTTCAAATTTAACTCTTATGGCTCTTGGATCTTCAGCTCCCGAGATTTTACTATCCGTTATAGAAATAATTGGAAAAAATTTTGAAGCTGGAGACTTAGGACCTGGTACTATTGTGGGTTCTGCTGCATTTAATCTGTTTGTTATTATCGGTGTCTGTGTGTTAGTTGTTCCTAACGGAGAAATTCGTCGAATCAAACATTTAAGCGTCTTTTTCATCACTTCTTCTTGGAGTATATTTGCCTACCTTTGGATGTATCTCATCATAGCAGTTTTTACTCCAGGCGTGGTTGAGGTATGGGAAGCACTTCTTACTTTTATTTTCTTCCCTGTCATAGTGGTTTGTGCATACATTGCGGATACAAAGATTTTCTTTAAAAAGTTTCTGAGGAAAAAATATCGTGCAACTGCCTTAATGAAAACTGCTAATGGTGATTTGGAACTAACTAACCACACAGAAGAAGTAACCTATGCACCAAGAGACACAGGTCTATTAGCCGAAGAATCAGAATTCGACCGTCATCGTATGGATTATGTTGAGGCTATTAAAGAAATCAGAAAACGAAATCCAAACATTGAAATGAAGGAACTGGAAGAACTTGCACAAATAGAGGTACTTAATAAGGGCCCTAAATCAAGAGCTTATTATCGGATGCAAGCAACGCGTCAGCTCACAGGTAGTGGAAATGTTCTAAAAAAGGCCAAAGTTGAACGTCGAATGTCTTTTGATGACTCGAACTTAACTCAAGACACATATCCTCCGCATGTTCAGAGGTTCTTTTTCAATCCTGGTCATTATACTGTTATGGAAAATGTTGGTACATTTCCAGTGACAGTCAGTCGAGTAGGTGGTGATATGCATTCTGTTGTTTCTGTCGAGTATTTTACCCTTGATGGAACCGCGGTTGCAGGGGAAGATTATGAGCCGGCTCAAGGCTTTCTTTTGTTTTCTGCTGGTGAAACTCATAAACAAATTATGATCTCTATCATAGACGATGATATTTTTGAAGAGGATGAGCATTTCACTGTGCATTTGAGAAATCTCGAAGTAAAGGACTCTCCCACTCCAATTCAGCCAGTTCTTATTGATCCCATGGTTGCTACTATTATGGTCTTGGACGATGACCATTCCGGAGTTTTTCAGTTTGATGTGGCTGAAATCAGTGTCAGTGAGTCGTGTGAATTCGCCGAGGCAAAAGTACAACGTGTTTCGGGTATGCCATTGTTTTTTTTCTTTTTGAGTGAAAATATTTAAATGTGTCTACATGTGATATGCTTTTTTATGTCTAATAAAGTAGCAGAAAACCTGTTTAACTTTAATTTATCATTCGAGTAAAAACTTGACGCCTAAGTGAAACAACCCTCTTTCTGACCATTATCGTTAAGAAAAAATCACAGACTGGCTGATTTTCGTATCAAATTTGCAGCACAAATAGTGAGTGAATAAGCCAAAATTTAATAAAATATACCTAATATCTTGACAAGCAACTGAAATGCCACAAGAAACAGTGTTGAATTTATTGTCGATAGAAGCACTGGTAAGGAGTTCGTCGTTTACTACTTAATTATTAAAGTCCAACCAGTTTGTATCGCATAACATGATTAGCTCACACATCATGTTTTTGGTGGTCTTGTATTCATTTTCAAAGTTCTTCAACTTTTTCCAATATATTATGAACAGTGACCGCATCTAGCTGCTACGTTAGCATGTAGCATATGAAAGACTGTACACCAGTCATCTTTACATCTAATCTATGTCAAAATGGAGGGTGAAAATCTTACAGAGAGTCTATATACCACTTAGCGATGTTTCATGGATAGAGTGAGCGTATTCCCTCTAAGAGTAATTTTAGCTCTCAACTGTATCAGTCAGCTCACCAGTTCTTCATACCTTTGCTATACATTGAGTTTTGAAACTCGTTTGTGATCCATTAGCTGGATAGTTATTAGTTGACTTATTGAAGAATGCAATTTATTTGCTTTTCCTAGTTTCATGGATTCATTTATGGCGAATAACCACTGATTGAATTTTGTGGTAGTTTCTGCAAAAGAATGTTGTGTTTGTCAATAGGGTTTAGGCTTTTAAGGGTTGTGATTTACAAGTAAGATCTGTTAGACCAAGTGCTGAGCTATGTTCTGTAATCTGTAACTTGTTTTCTTTATAGTGACAGCTTAGTTCTTTCTTGAACTAACTTGAATCATAAGTTGATAAATAACTTTTTGACGTCAGTTTTTTTCATACAATATCTAACTTCTCATATAACTAACTTTTAGTGGACCAAGTATCAGAGCTCTGAAGTGCAATCTTGACTTATGTGGGAGTGCATTATGAAGGTAAACTATAGTTTTCTGGATGACTAGAGTACTTTAATTGTGCCTATTTATCTTCAGGGTCTAGGTAGGATTCAAGTGATTCAAGAATATGTTTTGTTTTCCTCATCATTTGCTAGTTTTTTTCTTGGCAAATGGAAGTAGACAGAATCGTACTTATAGATTTCAGTGCATTTACATTTTTGTGGTATGTGAAACATAAACCTACCGTGAGGCGTTTGTTATATCTTAGTCAGTAACAGGTCTATTTGTTTTGGAAAAAAAATGAATTGAAATGGGATTTTACTTATCTTTGTTTTGTATCTCATCATAATATCAAAATAATACAACCATGATGGGTAATTTATTGCTATCATATACAATTCTAGGTTGCCGTGGCGTTGTCAGGCTTCCATATCAAACTGTTGAAGGCACAGCTAAAGGTGGTGGGAAAGATTTTGAAGACTCCATCGGATATATAGAATTTCAAAATGACCAAACTGAGTAAGTATTAGCATATTCGGTGTATTACTACTTTTGTTTAATATCTTGTATTAAAAATGATGTAAACCTATTTATTATCCGTTTTATGTAGTTTCATACTTTAAAATAATTTCTGTTACGGTACGAACCGGTTTATGCACAGTTTACTGACTTGCTAAACAGTTTAATTTAAACTTTAATTAGTTGAATTAGATTATATATATCCAAACCAAGTTTGGATCTGATGGTATGACAGCATTTGGGCACTGGGTGAGTGATATTCATCAATTTGGTATTTGTATTTCGCAATGAATGTAAAACAAAATAAATCTGTTTCAACTGACGTTTCGCTATTTATTACTAATAGATTTATCAAAGTTATCGTAAACCGGAATTTACAATATCCAGGTTTATATATGATAACTTGACAAGTATTCTTCCTCATGAATGATTTTGAGTTGTCAGGATTGCAGAGTAAAAATGGTATCCATGTGTGGTGTATTGTGTAAGAAGAGTAATTGCATTGCAGACTGATTTGTATGTACATGTTTGTTAATAGTTCTTATCGTATGTATGTTGGTTATGTCAGTATGTGGGGGTTGGTTGAGACCAGGTCAGATTACGTTTAACTCCTTCATTCCTATTTAGACAATTTTGATTCCCCTTTATTTTGAAAGATTCTGCTATGAAACGTTCTTTATGATTTCTAAAGCCTTTCTGAATAATTTTAATATTTTTGACCTTGTAATATGAAATTGTAGCGTGTAGAGCTATGGTTGAAGTGTTTTCAAGTTTTTGCAGCTCCTCTGGATTTCTAGGGGGTCAGGTGGAAGCATTTTGGTGTTAATCTTTTCCAACTTCTATTTCATGTGAAGTCTGCCCCATATTTTCTGCATCGCAGTCTGAGTATATTATTCTATAAACACAACTAGATTGTGAATCCCGAGGGACCTCGTCCTTCATGTAGACCAAGATATTCTGCAATGCGTTTGATGTTCTGTAGAACTTTTTGATATTGCATTTATTGAGCACTCTTCTAATTTTATCCAATGTGTGTGATCTGCATGGTAGGCCCATGATTTAAGAGTAGTTTTACGGTTTAATTTAATGTTATTTTCTATTTTGCGAATGAATATCATCGAATAATTAATTTTAAGTATCTTATTCACATATTTTAATTTGTTAAACCTTTCATTTTCATCCATTGTTAGAGCGTGGGCTCTCTTTAAGAGACTGTAGGCAATAGAAGCTTTCGCACTAAGTGAATATGATGAGTTGGAATCTAAATATTTGTTCGAATTCGTTTCTTTCCCCAAAATGGTTATACCTAAATGTTTATTTCCTTTCTGCTTAACAAGACAACCAAGGAAAAGCTGTTCATCTGATCTAAGAATGTCTGATATAAAACAGTTGAAAGAAATTTATTTGTTTTACATTCATTGGTAAATACAAATACCAAAAAAATGAACAGTTGATTTCTAGTTCAAATGGTATTCCGTAGATCATCTATCGATGAGAATCGTGACAACTGAAACCTATGTATCGATTGACAACACTGCATAACGTCAGGTTTCACATTATATTGCATTACAATTTTCCTAGTGTGGAAAAAGTCGCTTTTTGTAAGTCAGAAATAAATATTCACGTTTATCTAAGCGCAAAACGGTTATGAAAATTTATAAAGCGTTCAGATTAAGAAGTTCGTGTCTTTAGTAAAAATTCTGATCTCAGTTTAAGTAGTCTGCGAAACCAAATCATATTCTTTCTGCCTTGCAGCTGCAACCTTAAGTTGTGATATTGTTTTCCGGCATGATTGTTTGCTGATGATTTTAAAAGGTCCTATCAGCAAATGTAAATCCTAGATAGTAGAGAAGTACAATTCCGCTGTTTGGTAAACTGCCTGTCTATCAATTTATAGGTCGTGTGGATTCGCCTTTGACTGCAGTAAAATTCACTATTCAATCATACGTTTCATTGACTTGTGTTAGCTGTTTCAAAAGTGTTGATAATGCTCAAAGTATTGTACTTTTGGTGTTTATATCTCATTGTGAAGGTTGGACAGTATAACTAGAAAAAGGATTTTAAAAGGCAAGAATTAACCAAGTGTACTTCGTTTAGCCAAGCAAGTACGCTGAATATATTGTTATAGATAGGCCTGGTTATTTATCTTGCCAGTACCGAATTTGACCAGATCCACTCAAATGCAGTTAAAGTTATATACCATGCAATTGTTCAATATTCGCATCACCTTGTAAAAGAAATGGTAGGGTTAAGCTAGCCAATCGACTCTACAATCAACTAATTTCTTTAAGGTATTTATAAGTGAGGATTTGAGTAATAGTTTTGTATCGTATTAAGTTTTTTTTATTCAAGGTTTCATCATGAATTTGCTGATAATTAATCCTGAAAAGATATGACTTGCATGAAAAGACATGTTCACAGGATTCCGTTTCAGTTTTCCTCTTAGACCGTTGTATTATTTTCCTTTCAAGGAAAGGAAGAGAAAAAGGAAAGGCTACCTCAGTCTGTCAGGTTAGTGGGGAGTGGATTAAGTGGAAGGAGGTTTCAGGGTGGCCAGATGTGGCACCGGTAGATGAAGTCACTCAGTGTTTGTCTGAACCGTGTCGGCAGATGTTTAGAACTCTTGTTGATTTGGTTAAAAATAAGTCGCAATGGTGCAGATGTATTCACTCTTTGAGGTCTTCTAAAACCTGAACATTTACTATAACTGTTATCTCCATATTGTTTGTTCTGTCATACAACTTTGTTCACTTTGATATGATTCTTATTCTATTCACCTGCTCTTGTAGACTACTGTGAAATATGAAAACTTGAACCCATGAACCAATGCGCAAGGTTCTACGTTGATTCTGTCTCTGTCATTAGTAGCTTTTCCTTAATTTTCGAACACAAAATTTAAGGATACATTTTATTATCATTCAATGGCGGCTTATAAAAGAGCCTGAATTTCGAATTTTTCAGTCATACATAGCAAAACAAAACTTTGAGCATAGTGTTTTCGGTTTGAGTTGTCACAAATTTTAACAAGACAGAAAAGACTTCAGTGACATAGATTTTGTTAAGATTTCATACCAATAAATTTTAAATACTCTGTAGTGGGCATATACACTTAATATAAGTGTAAAACTTGGGCACTGTGGTAGAGCTTAATTCCGTATTAGATTTGTTTATTTGATTTATGACACAGTGATACAGTATTATTTACTTGATGACGTTTCAAGTATAAATTATTGCTCATAAACACATCAATTTAATCACACTACTTTCAACAGCTGATTTTCGTAGTCCACTCGCCTCATATCATTTTTATTGGTATTAAAATTTCCCATATCTCCGGTATTGGTGTTGCGTCATTTCTATTACATGTGTTGGGTATGGATTCGATGAACAGACTCAGTGATCAACCTTCCTCTCCACCTAACTGTAAGTACAGTGGTTTTATTCAACCCTATTATGTGGTTGTGTGCTGGTACAAGCATTGCAATAGTCTAGTGTTTTTCTAAATTATTGGTCTTATTGAGGTCTTTTGTTCTATGTTCCGCTGAATTCCTATGTTCCACTAATCTAACTGACACTGACCGGCTAATTTTATCTTCGTACTTGGCCTCGCAGTCATTACATAGGATTTGGTAGAATAGATTATTTTGCTTAACTGGCTTTATCGGATCCTTAAACCAGCCGACAAAGCTTATCTGTGAGTGAGTTTGTAGGTTTAAATGCCACCCAAATTCCAGCTTTGTTAAGGATCCTGGGCAAGGTTTCTGATGTGCCTTCCTTATAGGGTAACCCAATGGAGGCTGTGAACTCCATTCTGCTCGTGATGTCGTTATTTTTCGTACTCTTGTTAGTTATTATTTCGTTTCTTATGTATTCGTAGGAATTTTTTCGATAATCCATAGAGGATAGTTATTCACTACTAGCGCTTTAGTTCCATGTTTAGGTCCTTGCACTGACCAGTCAGTTTTCTAGCTCAATCACTTAGATTTTGATTAAACCTGCCGTAACTAATACTGAATGAGATGACTTGAAGTCTAGATAGCTGTTGGAATGTGTCGGTTCTCTGTAGACGACAGTATCCAAACCACCGACTATCCTTCGTCTTTTCCTGCAATCCAGCATGGGCAGTTCTCCTTTTCTACCTCATAAGTGAATTGGATTGTGTCCACTTCTTAGTTTATATGTGTTAGGAAATTGTCAATATGTTCTTATTTCAACACAGTAAATATATCATCCACATATCGCCAACACATCTTAGGTACAGGATTAAACGTTTGTAACCCCAATTTTTTTCCAACTAAAATAAATATATCTAATATAAATATAAATATATCTGCTACGATTCGGGATATTGGCGATCCTATTGCTACTTTTCTTTGGCTATATATTTTGTCCTGAATTTTGGAGATTGTGGAGATCAGGCACAACTGCACGCCTAATATGATCTCATCAACTGATATCTTAGTTCTATATGTTCTGAATCACTATTTAGTTGATTTCTGACTGCCTTCAGTGCCATATTCATTGATATTTTAGCATAAAGACTTGTTACATCGAAACCAACCATTTTTTCATTCTCTTGTATATGTAGGTCATTAAGCCTCAATTTTAACTCATTCCTAAAACGACACAATATCGATGCTAAGTACTTTGCTAGTTCATATGTTGGGGTATTTCTGAAGGCAACTAAGGGTCTTATGGGATAACTCGATTAATAAACCTTAACAGTGCCATAAATTCTGCTAGGGTTAATAGTTTCAGGCATTAAATTAAACCATTTAGACTCACCTAAAGATGGCTTTAGTCAACGTATCAGATTGGTTGTAGATTTCTTAGTTTTATTGATGACCGTGTCTAAAGGTTTCTTGGTCTCTTCATATGGTCCTGTTTCGATATGTGCTCTAACCTGTTCAGCAGTTGCTGCATCCACCGTGTTTTATGCTACTTCTATAGTGATAATAATAATTATTGGTCCATTTAGTTCCTAGTGGAACATACACCTT